TGACACCGCTGCATATGCAACCATGGGGGGGAATATTCAACACCATAAACTGCAAACAAACATACTGGCATTAAAGCTCTGTTGAAACAGAGAGAGGGCTGCCCTCGTCCTCTAATTATAGCTTTTATGTTAATTACTGAAAATTGCTGCTCCAAACAGGAAAATTTACAAACAGCGCTGTGAAAACATTCTGCTGTGTTATTCCCCTTGGCTACAGATACAGTGTTTAAGCAAAAGGTCACAGAAGGTGAGTCCCGAATGGGTTAGGGTACAAAGCAGGGTCAGGGTATGAAGTAGGGTCCGGGTACGAAGCAGGGTCGGGGTACAAAGCAGGGTCAGGGTATGAAGTAGGGTCCGGGTACAAAGCAGGGTCGGGGTACGAAGCAGGGTCGGGGTACAAAGTAGGGTCCGGGTACAAAGTAGGGTCAGGGTACAAAGCAGACTTGGGGTATGAAGCAGGGTTCATGCATTCACTGCTTTGTCACACGTTCAATATAAGAAGAAAAAAGGCTCAAAATAAATGCACCTAACTTTTGGGGTCTGCATGTAGAGTTCAAAGGTCAAAGGGGCGGAATTAGAGGTCGGAGGCCTGTCAGGGCTCACCTTGCGGGGGACGTGGTAGCTGACCGGCACAATGTAGCTGTCGGTGAGCTGCAGGACCCGCAGCACCTCGCACGACACGACGTCAAGCGCCAGCTTGGGCACCATGGCGACGCCGCGGGTCGCTGTCTCGGTCAGACATTGGCTCACTGACACAGAGACGGAGGTAATGGTGTGAATGTGCAACTGCCCAAGAGAATCTGTCTGAGAGGCATCAGCGTGAAGGGGGGGCCAGGGAATGGCAAACAACCACAGCGGGCTCACCTTGCGAGAGGAAGGGCTCAGCGGCCGAAACCTCGAAGCAGTCGATGACACTGTCCCCCTGTGGAGGCACAGAGGCGGCCAAAAGCATAACTGATCACAGCTGGACATGTGACTCTTTTGCATGTCATTTACATGTCATCTGCATAAATGTGCAGCTTACGGATGAAGTAGCTACTCACCTTTGCTGACATCACCAGCAATCCGGAGTCAGGGTCGAACAGCGGGATAAGGATTCTGGGGGGAAAAAGCAGAATGATCATTATTTATCCAGAATACTCACTATTAAATATGAACGACTGTACATCAAAAATCAATCTTTTACAGTTCTGAATCAGTAATCACATATGGCCACTAGATGGCGGAAAATACTCAAAAAAATAAAAAGGCCATAGGCTGCATATTGGAAACGCCAGGAGAAAAGGACTTAAACTTTGAAGTAATTAAAGGCAAGCCATATTATGTTGAATTCCACTTAGGACTGTAATTTTGAAATGACTGACGGTCATATTAGATTGAATGCCATGTAGCAGTATGTGGTAGGCATTAAACAGGTCTGATATCCAACGCTTTTGTTTGAGTTTTTAAAGCAACATGGAGCAACTGACAGTTTCCAAACAGGCCAGAATCAGTGCTCAAAGTGCATCAGTTACAAAAATATGGCAAACATGAACAAACTTCGTCAGCAAAGAGGTCACAAATCCAGGCTGTCCGACGTACACCCAACGGGAGAGCTGTTCACCACCGCAGCAGCACTGCCCCCAAAACCACGACATCGGCATCTCTGTGGCCTGATCTGAAGAAAAACTTTACGTGGTGAATTTCACTAAGTCTGGAAACTGCTTGCTTCCAAGGCCAATTCGCAAAGATGCAAAATAGCACAAAATCTGGACCCCTGAGCAAGAAAACGGTAATATGGTCGTTCACTCCTGGATGGGGCTGCTTTTGGAGAAGGTCACTGGTTGCTTTTAACAGAATATCTGCTGAATCTGTGGGCAGCCATTTTGTAAGACTCATTAGCTCTCTCACAGGATCAGCTGGCATCCATGACGCAGACTCTGCCCGGACCATGCAGCTAACGCTAATCAATCAGGAAGGCTGCCGTTAACGCCAAGATGTCAGAAGCTTGCCTGCTCTTACCGATCACATATGAACATGGGAAGGTTCAGGAGCACAGACTGCCAGGCAAGTTTCCAAAGCCCTCATTCCTCAAAGGCTTCTTTTCACAAAGAATCGTATAGAATCCCACCAAACACACGTCAGGGCTAATATGACCAGTTAGGATGAAACAAAGCAGTTTGAAATCAGTTTGAACTGGAAATACAGTGTCAGCATTAATGATACAGCTGCAGGCTTAAATTTATATGTATATCAGCCAATAATCTGCTAAAGCATGAGAAACTGATAGGGCCCTCAGCAGTAACCCATATTACTGACATTTTCTTCGAAGGTTATGAGCTTATGAGAAGCCTTGTTATTCAGACTCTCACATGATTTTTGCAGTGAAGAATAAGCGGAATGACCTGTCTTGAAACAAACTTTTGAATTTGTTTTTACTTCAAGCAGGAAATTTCAGTATGCTGTGTCTAAATCATGAACAATTTGAGCTGAATCAAATCATATAGTAACTGGATTGAATCATTAGTCACGGGTACCAAATCGCTTTGTTTGATTGTATCGTTTTAGTATCGTACTGCAGACTATGTCCGTGTATGTTCCCATAACCCTCGGACTGTCTGAGAGGGCGAGATACACGACTTGAACAGCACGATCCCCAGAAAGACCAGACCTGGTCTGAAGGCAAAAGGTGGCCCTACTCATTATTTGGGCTGCGACGTCAATACTCCGGGTTTTTGTTATTATGTCCCCCCCCCGCCATTCATCACATTTGCCTCCTTCATCTCGATTCACCAAAACCAGGAGTTCATAACAGCCAGAGCTCATTGTTTAATGAAGGAAACCCAGAGATTGATTATCCAGCTGATATTAAAGAATCTTCATCATACAGATGTGTATGTGTGTGTGTGTGTGTGTGTGTGTGTGTGTGTGTGTGTGTGTGTGTGCAGAATCACCACCAGACGCTTATCGTTTTGAGAAAGTGAAAACGAAATGAGGGAAGGAATGTAAACGGTACTGGAAGTGCCTAGCTTTGGACACACACACACAAACACACAGACAGACACACACACAGAGACACACACACACACACAGACACACACAGACAGACACACACACAGAGACACACACACAGACACACACACACACACACAGACA